GGGTGCGGTAGGTGGAGGAGGAAAAGCTGCAATTTATAAGGCTGACGGTGTTTATGGTTTACAAGCTTGACCGTGGGTTACTTTGTTCACAAGTGAGCATAGAATCCATCTGTTGCAAACACCTGGCTTCTCAGACTTTGAGTTTCGTTAGAGTCGCTTCACTTCTCAGGGCGTCATTTAGGTATGCAAGGGCCTTGCAGGGTGCCCATTGATTCGATAGCGGGCTCCCATCGGAGCACGGGCTCCATCAGAGGAGTGCTTTCCAGTACAGATAGCAGAAGCGCCACATTCGAAAGAAGTGCATGTTGTTCCGCATATTTGAATGGTTTGCGTATTCACGGAAACGCGGTCTGAACGTGGAAACATCTTACTCGTTTCCTCCCATACCTCCGGAGTCTCTCTTTGCTTGTTTATCGAACAGCACGTGCCAAAGCAGCCCCCTTGCACACTTAAGCCGACGAACATGAGCAATCGATGGCCCTCCGCTGACGCAATCCACCAAGAAAGAGAATGGCATGACTGTGCTTGGTTATGCTATGCGTGGAATACTATGTGTCTACCTAAACGGGCATAATCATGTATCGCTATGCGTGCGCGATTTTGCGTATCCGCTCTTGGAACAACGCTGACAAATTGTTGGCACCCCACACCGCCCCTGGCCCACACCATTTGAGATGCATGACTGATCATTACAGGACCTATCAGTGACACGGGGAGGCGATATCTTGCATGTCCCCGCGTTGTCTTCTGCAAGCTTCACGCTCCGCATAAAAATAGCAACGAATTAGTGTCACTCTCATGATGTCGTCTCCTTTATCAGCGTCATAATGCTCGATAATTTGCATTACTAAGCCGGAAACCCCGCGCGTTCCACGCGCAATGCACTCCTGTGGGGTCACTTGGCCCATGGGATGCCCACACTTGATTTTCGGTTCTTCGAATTGCTGCATTTTCAATTTAGAAATAATTGTGTTCTGCACGTTTCATGGCAAGAATGTGGTGGAAATAGAGTGAAAGGATGTCTGCAATTCGGAGATTTTGCGATATATGGGTTTTCGGCTTCAATCATTTGTAGATATTGGTTCTTAATTGGGAACACTCTTAAACGAATTTGTGGAATGAAAGCAGCCAAAGATGTTTCTTACCCTCATCTATAGATGAGGGTACTAGCTAGTACTTTGTTCCGGATGTGTTTTATGCGTGTGCATTGTAACAGCATGGCTGCGTGCTCAAATTTTGCCACCTGCCTCCATCCTGTGCTATGGTGCTCCTCCCTCGATCCACAGCACAATAGGGCTGGGAAACGAAATTTTCTTTGCTATTCTTAAGCCGCTTGCATGCTATCTGTATTTTGCCATTTTGCGAATCGTCTCTAGGTCGGTTTGTGTTGTTAAAACACATGGATGGGGTAATTCTGCCCAGGCTTGGTTTTTACGCCGTAAAAACTGATCGTATTTACGTTTTTACGCGTAAAAACAGTTTTTACGTTTTTACGCATAAAAATGCGTAAAAATACGTGAATACAACGTAAAAACTGCCCGGTGTACATAAGGACAGTACATGCAGACTTGCGGAGTCCGGAGACTGGCAGCCAGACGCCCTGGAAGGGGCAGAAAACGAGTCTTTGTTAAACACCATCATCGCCCTTGCCAAGGTCAAGTTGGACATTGTATTGCCGGTGCTGTAGATGGCGAATGACTGATCATTGTAAGCAACTTTCCTCGTGTAACCTGGGTGTTCCAGGGAGCCGTAAAAACGTAAAAATAGCCGGCAAAATAGGACCTTTTGCAAATTTACGTTTTTACGCGTAAAAACGTAAAAGTAAAAACGTAAACGTAAAAACCAAGCCTGATTCTGCCTATCAGAATTGGTTGAGACGCGGTCGAAACGGTCTGGCCACCTCGTTGCTTAAGAATTAGTTGCTTGAGAATTGAGCTCAAGCTTCTTCACTAGAGCAGCCGCGCTGGTGCCTTCATAGGGCCTTCATGATCGAGTTCCCTCCCAATCACTAGAAAAGCTGCACCTAAAGTACTGTAGTTTTGCCCACTTGGCGATCCAGAAATGTCGATTTTCCAAAAGCCTGGGTGCGCCCAACAAGCCTCACAAAGTGGTCAGGGCACCACAAGGAGTCCTGTGTTCCCGCCGCATTGCTCAAGTGTGCATTATAGCAGAGCACGGCTGCATGTTTAGAATTCACCATCTGCCTACACCATGTGTTCGGATGGATTTCAAGTGATCCACATCACAAAATGGGTGGGGGCCAGGTTAAGCTTTGCAACATTCCTTTGCAACTCCATTGCTCCGCTAGGTGGTGTGCATCGTTTGTAGATGTGCTTGGTGTCTCATATGATCGCACCAATCAAATTCATGTGTGGGCATGTTGCTCATCAGATTCGGTTCAAACCCGATTGACAACGATCTGGGAGCCTCAATGGGTTGAAAACTGACGGGCCTGGGGACTGCGTTCAGATCTCACAACTGGGGAGCACTCCGCATGCCCTAGCTGCCCTAGCAGTTCTTCTCTAGCTTCTCTCCCACCACCATGGAAGAAGCACATAAAGTACCCACTTTATCGGAGCACTTGCAGTAATGTAGTCATCCCAAACTGCCGACCCAAAGATGCCAATTCTCTCAAGGCAGCGTTTATGCCCACCAAGCCATCCAAAAGCGCCCAGGGCGCCTCTTGGAGGCGGATTTTGAACAAAGGTGATCGTAAAGTTGGCCACCAAAATTTGATGTTAAACATCCAATCTAAAGTTTGTCTCGCTGCCATCATCCCACCCACACACCAAAGGGCTTCTCAGCCGTTGCCGCCACCTGGCAAAGGCTGCGCCAAGTCCCTTGTGCAAAACAAAGCTGAACTGCCTTGGGCTTTGCAGGCCCATGGGGACATCGAAGCTATCTTCGTTTGCTGCCAGATCGCTATCACCATCACAGAATTGGCAATTTTCAAACCGCCATCAGCCTGTCCCCGCCAAATTTTTGATTGCAGTGGCTGGTGGCGCCCCCCTATCCCCGACATCCTTTCTCACAGGTGACTGCCAAACGGGCAACCCCTCTGCCACTTCTTTGGCCGGCGATTTGGATAGGCCGTTTGGTCGTTGGTGGCCGATTCCTGGCCGCGGGCCTGCTGCCGGTTGTGGGCGCAAATCTGTGATTGGTTGGCGCGCAAGCCCCGCTCGAGGCTGTGGGCGGCGATCACCAATCGGCCACAACGTGGGGGTGAGGTGGGGTGGGTGGTGCGGGGCGATCTATGATGGTTTGCACGACTGCTGTGGCACTGGAGGCGGTGGGTGCCACGTTGTCTTGCCCTGCGCGTTGCCTTGCAGCCTAGATGCTACTCGTCCGCCCCGTGCGCGCTCCACAAACAGGCACTTTGAAGTTCGATTCGACAATGTGGCTGGCGCAGCGGCTGCCTTCAAGTGCAGGCCGGCAAGTGAACGTTGAACTTGTGCGCACAGCGCCATCTATATGGTTGACGGCCTGCCTTGCCTGATCATTTCCATGCTATAACAACCATCAAGACGAGGTTGAGGGAAGGAAGGTCTAACCTGCCTCATTGCTTGTGCTCCCCTTTCCCTTTGTGCTGTTGGCGGCCAATCGCAAACAACACCCTGCCTCGATACTGGCAAGCTGGCAAGCCTGGCATCTGGCCACAGGCATCTGGCAGGCTGCCAGAACTCGGCGCCCATCATAAAAGTACCGCTAGGGAACGGGTGTGGCCATGGATCCCATCCGAACACCACCTATGGCCTTTCCAAAGCGGGTTGTCATCCGCGACGTCTTGGTGACGCCCAGGCATCACGACAATGGGGCGGCGGCTTGACCAGGTCAACCTGGTTGATTGTGCATACCAGACGAGAGACGAGGCACTGGTGCCCGGCAGCTTTGGGAGAGACTGTGCCCGACTGAAGCCAGTGATTCTACGCCCACAGCCTGTTGTGCCATTAATTCCTTTCAGCCCTTACTGGACATGCCGACCGGCCGATTGCCAGCCCAGCTCAAGCCCCCCCACGCCGCCCTGCGCCTGTGCGCGATTTGATCGCCGCAAGCGTCTCAGGACTATCGCCTGTGACAAAATCCTTGGTTTCCCGCCGCAGTCGCTCCCCCTCGCACGGACGGCCAACCACTTGGTGTGCTGAGTTCAAATACTGTTTAGGTTGGAATCAACCCTTTTGTGCTTAACGGGATCCACGTATCTGTGCAGCATCAGAAAGCGGGATAAAATCGTTGCACAGGAAAAGTTGGTCGCGTGAATGGCTTACCTCCTAGCTTGTTGTTGGCGACTGCCCGGCGACGGCAGCTGTGTTTGTTTTCACGATCGTATCTTGAGCACTGCACGATCCCCGAACCGAAGCGAAACACCTCGACCATCGTAGACACTTGCACGGCCTATGTGCCCTTGCCGACGCTGTGAGCTCCACTCAGCAGACGCTGAAAATGCAATCCACTCGTCATTCACATCGACACATTGTTGTTGATTTGGGCCACGGATATGGAGAAGCAGCACGATTGGGCAACTGACCGTTAGGTTGTAGACTTTGGATTTTCATTCTCCAAGTTTAGCTTTTAGTTTTAGGACTTAATGTCTAGGTTTTTCAGTCTTTTAACCTCTTCTTTTTCTGGGGGTTTTATGTTTCATGTGGTCTAAGAAAACCCAAGGTTTTTGCTGACACGTACCACGCCTATGGAGACGATGACGGAGATGGAAACGGGTCAGGATTGGGCGTTTTAATTGTGGGATTTTAGGGCGTATGCGTGCGCAAGGTCTCCCCTACATCTCCTCCGTATCAGTAACACCCTCCAGACAACGATGGGAGGGGTGGAAAAAAAATCCCGAAGGGACGAAAAAAACACGTGGCGGTAATCCTGGCCCACAACCCCGCCTGCCTGCACCACCGCCTGGCGGACCGCGAACCCTCCCCCCCAGGCGGCGCCCCTCCCCCCTCCCCTCCCTCCGGGTCCCCCGGGTCCCCCATCCCTGGCAGGCGCGACGCAGGATGAAGGCCAAGGGCGCGGAGGAGACCGTGTGCCAAGACGCGGCGGATCTGAAGGCCAAGGGCAACAACTTGTTCGCCTCCGGGGACTACGCCAAGGCGCTTGAGGTCTACGACGAGGGGCTGAAGAAACTCAAGGACAATGGGGCCGAGGCGGCGATCCTGCACAGCAACAAGGCGGCCTGCTACATCCAGATGAAGAGATTCAAGGATGCGGACAGGAGCTGCTCGGCGGCATTGGCGGCTAGTCCCGGGAATGCGAAGGCCTTGGTGCGGAGGTCTAGGGCGTACGAGCAGCAGGGGCTGTACAAGCAGGCGCTGGCGGACATTCAGCAGGTTAATCGAGGGGAATCCGCGTCGGCTGAGACCAAGGAGGCGGAAAAGAGGCTCAAGGACGTGTTGGCCGGGCGGCGGAAGGGCGTGGCGGACATTGGGCCAAGGGGGATGGGCAAGGCCGGCGGGCGGTGGCCGCGGATGGCGTATTTCGCGGCCAAGTGCGTGTTGGATGATGAGGCGAGGATGATCCACCTGGCCCACGGGACGTCCTACGCCGAGCTGCTGGCAATGGTGAAGGCCAAATTCCCATCATCTGGCCCCGTGGCATTGAAGTACGTGGACAAGGAGGGGGACCTGGTGACCATTGGCGAGAGGGCGGACGTCAGTGCCGCCATCGCGGAGAGCGTGGCGGCGTATGAGAAGCATCTTGGGGGCGGCCACGGGCCGAGATTGCCGCCCCAGATTCCGCCCATCAAGATTCATCTGTTCCGGGTGGCTTCAGAGGATGAAGTGCCCAAGCCGCCGGAGGTTGAGGTGGCAGAGAGGGCCCAGGCGCTGGCGGTGCAGAAGAGCTTGGCAGCGAGGGCAGCTGGGAGGGCGGGGGAGGAGGATGGGGTGGGTGAGATCGACGATTGGCTGCTGGACTTTGCCAATCTGTTCAGGGAGAGTCTGGGCATCGACCCCGACAGGCACGTGGAGATGCATAATGTTGGCGTGGAGAAGTGCCAGCGGGCGCTGGAGGCCTCCGTGCAGAGCAAGGATGCGCTGCCCATCTTCGACGAGGCGGCCGAGAAGTTCAAGGAGGTGACCTGCGTGGGGCTGCTGAACTGGGGGAACGTGCACCTGTGCGTGGGGCACAAGCTGGCGGGCGAGGCTGCGATGGCAGGGACGCCCGCTTCGTCCGTTGAGGCTGAGGTGCTGGGCTTCTTCGACAAGGCCCAGGGGCGCTACGACGAGGCCATGGCCCTGAAGGACGATTTCTATGACGGGATCTTGGCATTGGCTCAGCTGGAGTTCGAGCGCGCGAAGGTGAAGGTGGGATTGATAATCGAGCCCCCGGTTGCATCCGCCTCTGGGGAGGGAGCTGAGGAGGCCGACTTGAACAGCGCCGCGGCGCTCAATGAGGCGATGAAGAAGGCGCTCGGAAGGGTGGACACGGCAAAGGTGGCGGAGGTGCAGCCGCTCGTGGACAAGTGCTGGGAGCTGTACAAGAAGGGAGTGAAGCTGGGTGAGGATCTCGATGCGCAGAGCGAGAAAGAAAAAGAGAAGAAGGCAGAGGCAGGGAGCAAACCTGCGGATACCCGGGTCGATCGCACGGCGGAGGGCGTGGACGAGCCAGGCCTGCAGACCCATGCACTGGTGATGTGGGCCAATGTCCAGTTTGAGTACTCACAGATTTTGGCGGTGTCAGGGGGGGAGTGGCGGCCAATGTTGGACGATGCTGTGGTGAAGTTCCGGAAGGCTGGGTGCAACGAGAGAGACGTGATACAGGCGCTGAAGAGTCACATCAGGTCGGAGGAGTTGGACATCCCGGAGCCTCCGGAAGAGGCGGCAGAGGCCAAGGCCAGCGCTGCCACAGCGGATGGCTCACCACCTGTCAAGGGGCTGCCATCTCTGGGATCCAAGCCAACGAAAAAGGCCCAAAACTGAAGTCAGAAGGAGGCTGGTGCCGGGCAAGCAACAGCTGGGACTCCAACAACACAAGCTTAAAATGAGGCACAGGACCGTGGATACTGGAGATCTCGACAGGCAGTGATTGGGAGAGTTGAAGAAAGCTGGACTGGGAGGCATCACGCTGTTGAGCCTGGAGGAGCATGCAAGGTGGAGTACCTCGATGTAGGATTTCGCCCTAAGTCGCATGGGCTGTGCCTTGAACATCTCGAAACCCTTTCTCAATGTTTGGAGAATCAAGGGGCCCAGCACATAGGCATTGGCAGGCTGTTGTAGATATTGGCATGGCTGAGAGGATTGTACGACTGAGGTCTGCATGGGCATTTGTCGGTGGATCATGCAGGGTCCAACTGGGCAAAAGTACAAAGGTGGTTATGCCAACTGGCATCACCATGTGTCATTTTTTAGACGGATGGTGTTGAAGGTGAATGCCCACAGAAGCTGCTGCAGTTGAATGACTGTGAGTGGGAACACGGCCAAGCGTGGATTGGTTGATGGTAACATGCTTTTTTTTCTGCATCCATTTGTAGTGCATTTCCTGTGGCGATAGGCAAGTGCCCTTGCACCTGACGGGAAGCTGTTGATGACTTAGATGTTCCAAAGTACTGAGCAGATATGCTGCTGTCCAGTTTGCCTAAGTGCTGCACACATAGTACATTTGCCTGGAACGACATTCCATGCGCACGTCCTGGCAATGTTGACACTTCATTCTCCCACAAAGCAGACATTAGAATAACAAGCTAAACAGATTTGGTCAACGAATAAGTAATCGAAGACAAACAAGCGGATAAGTGAATAAACAAACGAACAAGTACTATAGTTCTGTACTTAACACCGCATCTGTGCACAAATACCATTTCACATTTCATGCTCTCACAGCTGCCACCACACCGGTGGGCAACTGCAGAGAATCAACATTGGCCGTGACGACTTGTTTGGCAGGTCTCGTCCTTCCTGCAGCTCTTTCAGAAAGCGGGCCAGATGGACCCACAGCTACTCAAAACACTTGTGCGAAAGCGGTGCAAGCAAGTGCTGCAGAGGAGTAAGTTTCGTATCAATTTTCTACAGAACAGGTTTATTTTCATTTGTTGCCGCAAATGCAATCCTGAAAGCAACTCTTGCCCCCTGCTGGTCCCTGTTGGTCCCTGTTGGTCTCTCTTGAACCCTGTTGGTCTCTCTTGGTCCCTGTTGGTCCCCGTTGGCCTGTCGAGCATCCTGTAACCAAATTCATGTGATTGGATGAAATAGGGCTGTGCTCCTTGGACAGGCACAAATAAGAACAACGCTGAACGACCATCTGCCCGAGACACCATCGCGTTGCAGACTACTGCCTCGTTTTCCATTCAATAGTCACTGTACTGGCAACTTGCAGATGGCAAGAAAATGGCTGCGACAACACGCTCACATAACTGGGAATGAGTCTGGACCACAAAGGACGGAACTGGCACTTCGGTCCGTAACAACGATAGAGAAGGCAAATTCTATTTTACAGATGTTACAGTCAAGAGCATTTAACGCTCCAGAGAAAAATGAACCCAGACGCGCGACGCCATCTGTGGTGCCACCAAAGCGCTCAACAATCGTCCAGTAAGCAATGTACAGACGTGCACACACGGCAGGGAAAACCGGTGCAGAGATTTGACAGGTGGGTCGCTCATGCATGGTCACTAACTACAAGGCCAAGATGGAATCTTGGAATACTCGAAGTGCGCGCTTTTCGTTTGTCGACAATGTGAGGAGCGGCCTGAATTCGCCTGGAGTTTTCCAAAGACAGCGACTTGAGGTGTTTTCTCTCAAGTCGATACATTTGGACCAAGTTTTGGAAATTTGGTCCTTGATTGCGTCTATTTTTAGTTAGAACAGTTGTTTGTATGTAGAATTATGAGTGCTAATTTAGTGCCCGAATCCCACGTCAAATTGCGACACGGTGGTTGCCATTAAAACCTAAAAGATACCAACTCCAGATTGCTGCAAAGATTCCCACGCCCCACCATCTAGACGGATCTGCGCTTCATTTGCCTGAGATATGATTCAATGATTCAATCACACCCTTTCAGGACAAATAAGTACAGACAAGTACTGCAGAGTGCTGAACCTTACACCGCTGTTCCCAAGACAGGGTTAATCATCCCACAGATCCATGTGAAATCGATCCTCCCAGTTGTGGCCAGTGCAGTGGAATGGCCTTTTCAGATGCCCCAGCCCGTCCCTGACCACCGCTGGGCAGCCCTGCACATTCAAGTGCTTGAGCCTCTTGAGCCATCCCACTTGCACCAAACCGCCATCTGTGATTTTGTCCAGCTGGCCAAGGTTCAATGCGGTGAGGCTGGACAGCTGTCCCACGTACCCCAGGCCCACATCCGTGATCATCCTATTGTTCCTGATGTCCAGGTGTTCCAGTGCCGTCAATTTCAGCAGATGCCCCAGTCCTGTATCGGAGATGAATTCCGTTTCAGAACGCCGGAGCTCTTTCAAGGACAGGAAGGTCAACGACGACAAACTCCCAACAGCCTGCATGCAATCATCCGTGACCTTGCAATGTCCCACATCCAAATACTCCAAATTCGCCAGTCTGGTCACTGGCCTGATCGCCTCACGCACAGGGGAGCTGAACGTGCACCTCCGCAGGCCCAGGTGAGTGAGAGTCAGGTGGTGCAAATGATGCAATCCCCCGCAAATTGCATTTCCTCCCAGACAGAGGCGCTTCAGCAGGGTGAGGCTGCCCATCTGTGCCAGGGCTGCATCCGTAACACCGAGGGCTCCGCACAATACGAGCTGGGTGAGAGCCTTCAGGTTTGTCAGGTGCCCTTCCACTGCGTTCATCAGCGAAGCAGAGGAACCTGAAAGCTTTTGGCGCAGGTACAAGCTCTTGAGCCTCCTCAGCTTCAGAATGTGCTTCAAGCTTTCTTCAGAGACACCATCAGCGCACTGCAAGCACAGGTCGGTCACGGAAGTTAGGTGCCCCAGGTGCACCAGATCTGAGTCCTGGACGGTGAAGCATTTTCTCAGGTTCAAACGCTGGAGACCGACAAGTCCGGCCAGCTGACCTAAACTGGCAGCAGCAAACCTCCTACTTGATCCCATGTACAAACGGGTAAGCGAATTCAATTTTCCCAGAGTCTGCATTCCTATCTCTGTTATGTAACGAGGCTGTTGGAGAACCAAGGATTGAAGTCTCGTGAGGGCGCTAGTACGTGCCAAACCGAGGTCAGAGATCCGTGCTATAGTCAGGCGCGTGAGAGCAGCCAATCTCCCCACGTGTACCATGGCGCTATTGGCATCAAAGCCGCAGTTCGTGATGTCCAAATACTCGAGGCACGTTAGGGTTCCCAACAGGCTCAAACCCCCGCTCGAAATTCTGGTGCAGCGATGCAAATTCAGATGCCTGAGGGATCTCAGTTGCCCCAGCCGCTCCAAACTCTGATCTGTGATCCGCGTCTGATGGGTCTTCTTCCCAGAAATGTCAAGGTGCGTGAGGGTCGTCACTTCTCCCAGCGGTCGCGCATCCTCGTCCGCCAATTCGCAGCCGCGAAGGTCCAATTGATTCAAATCACGTAACACCAACAATGCCTCCAGCCCTCCTTGGAAATGGCCCCTGCACTCCCAGAAGCTCAGCTTCCGCACCCTCTTGAATTTCGTTGCCACGCTGTAGGCCACAATCCTCAGCGGCACGGGTCCAGTCACGTTAAGAAAAGTGGCAGCTTCCGTGGCCCACCATCCCCAATGCCTGTTCACCAGCCGGGTGGCTCTGACCATGGCCACGTGGCTGTCTTCGTCATCTCCAAGCATTTTCTTCACGTTGTCCAAAATTTCGACCAGCAGGTGCCCCCAATCAGCAACGGGACCGTCCACGTCCTGCAACCAGCACAGAGCGCAAGTCCAAACAGGGAAGAGTTCACGTTTCGCTCAATGCAGCGTCATGCTTGGGGCATGCCCCAATGTTCAATGCCAACCATCAGCGGCAGCCAGCACATTGAGAATAGAGCAAGTTCTGCAACAAAACCTTGCTTTTCGACCCAATTTCCACCACACTTATTAAGCTGTGCTACCAAACATTGGGCAAGTGAATGACCAAATGGAGGGACACCAAAATAAGCACTGTGACATTGATTTCAAGTAAAGTGGGTGATCTGTTGTTGCGCTTGTGGTCCACCACTCCGTTGGATATACAAAAGAACTAATTTCCGTAAATTCCTAATTTCCTACGAAATATGGCCTAATGCCATAGTACTAGACTGCTGCATTAACGCACATTGAAGCACTTCTTCAAAATCCTGGCGGGCCTGTTCTTGGGAGATGATCTATCTCAGGAACGAAAAGCAAACACCCCCGCAACACCGTAGTCCAAACGCCAAAGCAACACACAGATGCATGTCATCTGTGTAGGATACTTCTATTGCCAACGGAATTCCTTTCCAAACAGAAGCCAGTGTCAACACAGGCTCTGAAGCGCGACAGTCAAAAGAGTCTGTATCAATATATATGGACACAATGCAGCTTTCCCAAATGATGACAACATAAAGAAAATATGGGAATTCAAAGTAGGTGATTGTGTCATAAACGTGTTGAAATTCCTTCTGATGGTGGGGCACCATCAAAAAAAGATGTGCGCGCTGGCAACGACCTCTTGAAAATGCGGTCACCAGATAGCCAGCAATCAGTCTGAGAGCAAGTTTTCCCAGGGTGGGCGTGTAGGTGCGTAAAAGATATGCTGTCATTTCGGCAGCACTTAAAACGTCAAATCAAAATATTGAACATCTTCAATCAGCTAGCAAACCACAGATTCCCTAATAACGTGGTGCACAGAAAACTAACTTTCCCATGGATGAAACTCTCTAGGGATCCAGCCAACCTTGGCTTGCCGTACTGCCAGCGCGAACCCCATGAATAACGAGTATCTTGAAACATGTCACACATGCACAACATAGCACCCTTGCATGTCTTACGCGTGCATGTCTTACGCATGCAAACTCTGCTGT